GAGATCGTACACAACTCACTTTTGCCATGAATCTGAAGCCAACCTCCAGCCAAGCCCCGGGGTTGCTTTTTCTTAGATACTGGGAGCAAGGCAGGGATCTTTGACTTAAAGACTTTGTATTTTTCTCTCCTTGATGATAAGCTACCTGACCAAGCAACTTAAGCAAGGAGAGAGCCATGCTGGATCAGAGCCACAGAGCGTCCATCTGTGTCTTAGGCTCAGGGGATTCTGGGCCGGGGCTGAGGTTGATCATCTCCATGACTTAGAGCATGTGCTACAGAGAAGGGCTTTGTCACCCCAAGGCTTCAGGAAGTGGAGGAAAAGGAGCGAACCATGAATCGAGTCGTAACCTTCAAAGCCACATCCCTGATGGTTCCACTGCCTCTCAATCACCAGTACTGTTTGAAGCAGCAGCTTTCATCTATGAAGCAACGGCTTTCATCTACGGTTCATGACCTCTTTTGGTCGTCGAACGACCCTTTTGCAGGGTCGCTGAAGACCATCAGAAAACACTGATACTTGCATTATGATTGATAACAGTAGCAAAATCAGTTATGAAGTAGTAACAAAAATGATGTTACGGTTGGGGTCAGCATACATGAGGAACTGTATTAAAGGATTGCAGCATCGGGAAGGTTGAGAATCACTGGCCAAAAAATTTCTCCAAAAGGCACAACCAGCTGGAGACCAATCATTTAACACATGAGCCTGTGGGGGGGAGGGGGAACACGTCATCTTCAAACTGTGAGGCTTTTTATGTACTCTCAGAAGTATGTTCAGGGGGCTGGTGGGCATGCGCAGACACAAGAACTAATCAGTGGCAGCTCTTTCTCAAGGACTCGAAAGCTCAGAGGGCAGAGGTTGTTTTTCTAGAGCCCAAGTGTCTCTTGAGGATAGGAGCCCAATCTTTAGAATGTGCCTTGGCACCAGGCTGAACTAAGAATCTCGTGGAAGATCTTAAGTCACAAATCTACGGACTTACCCTTTTCTAGGTGGGAAACACAGTTCAATTATTTTGCTGAAAAGGAAAAAAAAAAAACGGACTTTGTCTTTTTGACGTTGTCTTTTTAAATGTTAAAAATCTTAGCTGGGTATCACATAGACAGAGTCGGTCTGCCCAAAGAGCTCCTTGAACTCCCTGCTTATGAAGGACAGTTATACTCAAAACATTTGATATGAAAAAAAAATATTATGACATGAAAATTCTTGAGGCAAGGAGAGGCTACACCAATTATGAGAAACTCATTCCAGATTTTAACGACCTTGTGAGAGGAGCCTTACCTGAAGTTCTTAGCTGCTCCTGGGGCGGATTAGTTCTTGTTCCCTGGTCCTCAGGGAGACGAATATAAATGGAGTACCATTGCCCTCTGATGCTGCTCCGGACGCCTGGAGGCATTTGCTAGGCTTCTGTTCAGGTTTCCATTTTTAGGAGCAAATAAGATCAAGGTCATGGGCTCCGTGCTGATCCTGCCTCCTCCATACTTGGCTGTCTGTGGAATTTCACTGACTTCTAGAGAGCTTCGGATGAAAAGTGATTGAGCAACATTCTCGTTCTTACTGAGGCAGGCTTTACTTTCTTTTCCAAGTTTCTTTAACCGAAACAATGCACACACACACAGACACAGACACACACACACTCATTTTAGGGACATCTCCATAGGTTGAGCACCACTGCTTTAGACAATACCGGCTATGTAGAGGAAGTGGACCATCAGGGATGTGGCTTTGAAGGTAAGACTAATTCATGGTTCACTCCTTTTCCTCCACTTCCTCAAGCCTTGAGGTGACAAAGCCCTTTTCTGTAGCACATGCTGTAGCCACAGAGATGATCAACTTCAACCCCGGCCCAGAATCCACTGAGCCTAAGACACAGATGGACTCTCTGTGGCTCGGATTCAGCATGGCTCTCTCCTCCTTTAAGTTGCTTGGTCAGGTAGTTTATCATCAAGGAGAGAAAAATACAAAGTCTTCAAGTTGAAGATCATCCCTGCCTTGCTCCCAGTATCTGAGAGAAAGCACTCTGGGGCTTCCTTTGGAGATGAGTTTGGCCTAGGCCTACTGGTTGGTAGAAAAGAAACTTTTCTTCAGAGATGCAGGCCTTCATAATGGTGCAAAGGTCAAGGCAGAAGATCCAGACCTGTTCCAGATAGAACTTGTGAGTCCAGCCCACTACAGTCCACTCTGCTGATATACATCACCAGAATACATGTTGTTCTTCTTTTCCCCTTCAATTTTTAGGATTTCCACATCAATGCATTCTTCGGTCTTGTTCCTTATTATTATTTATTATTTTGATAATTCTTGCATGCAGACTGCATACGAGATTTTAAGATGGAAAGTTTAGCGTTGACTGGATGAGGTGGAAGGCAGCCTTCGGCCACTTTGAAAATGTCCTGGTGTGTAGTCAGAGCGGAGAAGCCCTGGGCCTGGGGCCAGAAGTACACCCCACTTTGCTTAGGAAATAGCTGCTTTTGTTCACTTCACACATAGACCGCACCTCTGTCTCAGCCTCTCCGTCCCAGGAAATGACGTTTCTACTTACCCGCTTCTCAGATGAAAACTCGAGGCTCGATTTTTCCCCATTGTGCTTCCTTCCCCAGCCAACCCCTCAAGTACTGTGCTCCACCTTCTCTCTTCCTCACCCCTCTGCTGACTTTCCTGTAACTCCCTTGGCCTTTCCTAAGCCAGAGCATCTCTAGGCTTTATGTCATGACTTCCTACCAGGTAGCTGCTACCTGGTATCCGATTCTGTATCAGATCCAAAAGGTTCCTGATTTCTAAGAACAGTCTTAATTTTTAAAAGTAAATTTAAACACCTAAAGAACAGTTCATCCATCTTTGTGGGATCTTCACATCATACTGTATTTGCCTTGTAGACCTTTTACATAAGTGAGTTAAGTACATTTTTATTACACAGCACATAGTTAAATATGTCTTCATACAATACAATTTCATTTTCGATGTTCTAATATATGTTATGTAGTGGAAACATAATAATGTTTAAGATTTCCATGCCTTCAATTTAGGGAAGTAAAAAAATTGAAGATTAAACCTGCTTAGAATTTATAATACTTGGGGAGCTGGGTAGATGAGTCAGTGGTTAAGAGCTCTGGCTGCTCTTCCAGAGGACACGGGTTCAACTCCCTGCACCCACATGGCAGCTAACAGCTGTCTGTAACTCCTTTTCCAGGGGATCCAATGCCCTCATATACCTGCAGGCACAATGTACATAAAAAGAATTTATAATACTAAAAAATTAGATTTGTTATTTATTTTACATGTGTTAGTGTTTGGGTTTTTTGTTTTTTATTTTTTATTTTATTTTCGAGACAGGGTTTCTCTGTAGCTTTTTGGTTCCTGTCCTGGAACTAGCTTTTCTAGACCAGGCTGGCCTCGAACTCACAGAGAGCCGCCTGCCTCTGCCTCCCAAGTGCTAGGATTAAAGGCGTGAGCCACCACCGCCCGGCATGTGTTAGTGTTTTGTCTGAGTTTGTGTGTGTGCGTGGGGAGGGGTTTGCTGGGAACTGAACCCAGGTCCTCTGCAAAAGCAACAATTACTCTAAATGACTGAGCCCTCTCTCCAGCCCCAAACATTTGTAATAATGTGATAGACCTTCATGCAGGACTCTTCCCCCTAAAGAGAACTTCTCTATATTCACTCTTTATAGGGATCCTCTTGGGATCTAGAAGTCAGTGCCGTGAGCAGGAGCTGCTCTCATTCAAAGCCTTTTTAGCATACGCAGTCAGCCATCATGGCGATAGCCGGACGTAGGGACGCACGCTCCAAACATTAAACACTGTCTAAGCCTCTGCAAAGTTTTACTTATGAATTAACAGTCTTTCCCTTTACCCTTCATTACCAGGACAAACAGAGGAGCCATTTGGTCATATATTGTAGTAATAAAATCAAATCCCCTTAAGAGAAAGGTAAACAAAAGGGAAACCCGTGTCCATTATGTCTAGCTGCACTGCGGCTCTCAGGAGAAGCTGGGAGACGATCCCATTAACTAAAAGTTCTCAGACACAGCTGCTGCCGGGTTTCGCCTCAAAGGTTAAATTTCTATATTAGGCGAAAAGGTCCGTCTCTCTTGTGGATCTGACCTGGGGTTTCCTCCTTCTCTCTGTTGAATCGCACACAGGACAGAAGCAAAGGGGGCTCAATCAGAGCCTCCACCGCAGGCCAGCAGCGCCGCAATGCCAGTGTCCTAGTGGTTGATACAATTCCTGCTATCCATTTGACTCGAGCACCTATGTTCTTGGTGCTACACATCCTTCCCAAGGCATCACATCAGAAAACGATGATGATATCTCGCTCAGTCATGCTAAATTTAATTACTCGCCTAAGATGGAATCTGCCAGATCTCTTCATTACAGAGCATATATTAGCATTATCATTAAGTACGTTAGGGTGGCCTTTGAAGACCATGTGGATGCCTGTTTAATATCCTTCACCTAAGGGTCTTAGCAGTCGTTGATGACCCTTGCTCACGACAGTAGTTGGCAAAGGATATTATATAACTTATTTATCCTACATCTTTCAGCTGGCATTCTGTTTCTCTCCTCCCTCATTCCTTTTTGGAACTGTTTTTGAAATATTAGAATGGGTGCATAGATTTTTTCCATAATAATTCTAATTAAAAATAAATTAATTCTTTCTTAAATATTTCAATATGTTTTATGCATTTGCCACATCACTTTCTTGCATAATATTTTACATTCAGGTATCATTATGAAATAACATATTTTGTTGAGTAGAACACAATGGAGTTCCCTAGAACGCTGGCCCGTTTTCCTTTTGTTAGTCTGGCTGCTCACCATGATGGTGATGATCTATCATCTATTTTCCTTTGGTGCTCTAAATACAAAATCAAATCCATTTATTGAGAAAAAAAGCTGGGGGCAGGAGGAGGGCCTTTCCCAGTGACACATGGACTCACATTTCCCCTTCGTCCCTCACCTCCTGGCCCTTGCAATGAACGCCTTCTCTGGCTTCTTTTTAGGACCGAAGATTCAATGACGAGATCGACAAGCTCACTGGGTACAAGACAAAATCGCTCCTGTGCATGCCAATCCGGAGCAGCGATGGAGAGATCATCGGTGTGGCCCAAGCAATAAATAAGATTCCTGAGGGTGCTCCATTTACGGACGATGACGAAAAAGTAAGACTTCACGCCTTGCATGACTTGGACTTTCCATTCTGCTCACAGATTGCCGCTCTCCCTGAAAGGACGGGAATTACATGAATAGTCTTCGATTAGCGTATTCACAGATCTGAGAGCTTTTCCTGAGCTGTACGAGATGTAATGGGAGGCTTTTTTAGCATTTCAGAGAATGTGGCATAATTGAAAATAATCGCTCCACTTTTTTAAAAAAAGCCTGCTTCTCATTACAAGTTCCAGTGGTATTCTCGCTATTGCTTGGTCTTTATTTGCCTTGTAAGTCAGCCTTTAAATTATCAACAGCACCATGACCATACGTGACCCAAGGGAGGGCAGAGAGTGTGGGAAGATCACTGCGCTTCAAAAACTCAGCATATTCTCTTACCGTTTCTATAACTGTGACGGAGAAGCTCTTTTCTTACTTCTTACATAAAAACCTCAATAAAACGAGGGTCATTTAATTGTTATTGTAAATCACTAGTAAAGGGAGCATCAGTTTTGGTTCTGAAGAACAAGTGGCTTTGGCAGAAGTCCATACTTTTTGCTCTAGAACTTTAAGTTCCTCTGCTAATGATTTACTGCAGGCCTTGCCGAGAAGGGCTCTTCAGGGAGCAGAGGCTCTGGCTTTGGGACGTTTACCTTCCTCCTGAATAGAAACTGGTGGCAGTGAAAGCAAACCTCACTTGTCATGTTGGATGACTGCTATACTGCTAGTTAATTGAAAACTTTATGATTTTACCTTCGGGATGAGGTTATCTTATTTGCCAGTGCCAGCTGTTAATAGTCCCAGAAGGCAACTGCAGTGGCACAGAAGGTCAGTGTGAAATGTGATCCTGGGAAAAGGGGAAGGGTTTCGATGAACTGAGTCCTTCGCCGAGGTCCTTTCTAAGTGGGATTGAAAGAACTCAGATCATTGTAAGAATACAGAAGCTCACAGAACCTCGGGTGACTTCCTATCAATCCTGCATGGGAAACACACGGGTTGGGATCACAGGAGGTGGGTGGGTAAATCCCACATGTTTTGTGCCACCCGAGGTGGGAGGCAGCAAGATGTTCTAGAGCGTTCTGGCTGTAGATGAGAGAGGCTCACCAAAGGGCTTTCTCGGAAGAGATGGTATCTCGTCTCTAAGTCAAGAATTGGTTTCAATGGACAGAACTAAGAGAAACAGATAAAGTGTTTAGAAGTCAGTTTTCAACAAATGGTGGTGGCTTCAAAGACCCGTGGCTGTCCAACGCCAAGAAAACGTGATGGTGAGGGCTCAGCCCTAAACAAGTTGTACATCACCCCTTCTAAGGCTCAAGGAAGCTTGTGGAAGAGGGGCAGGAAGAAGGTAACAGAAGACAGGGGAGAGAGCTGTGCTTTAGGCAGGACCCGGCCACTGTAATAATGAACCCACAGCAGCTGTAGTTACTGCACAAGACTGGCCCTGTAAACACGGAGAGAGAAGTGCTCATAACGCATACCCCTTACTGCTGAACTATTGGCGAGATGGATTCTTAGAGAGGAAAAGCCGTTGCTTTCCGTTGTGTTATCCACTGGTAAGCCCAGCAGGCTCCAACAGAGAGCTCTAAATCCACAGGGATATAAACTCTCAATCCATGGCGACACAAATAACCCAAGCTAAACTCCGTGAGTCAGAAAGCAAAATAAATAGATAGAAACACGAGAAAGAGATTTGTAGGGGGAAAATAGATGGGTAGGATGGACATTAAAGAGAGTAAGGACTGAGAGTAATCAGTATGCACTTATAAAACTATGTGAAATTGCAAAGGAAAGTAATAATAATTTCTGGGTTGCCCACAGGGGAAAAAAACAGGGAACAAGGAAAGGCTTGTGAGTAGGATTAGGAGGCTCTGGAGTCAGAATGCCTCCAAGACAGACTCAAGCATTTTCTCCTTAGCTGAAGGAGCTTAGACACCTTGTCAGGTCCTTCTGAGCCTCACAACCTTCCTCACAGGGTTGCTGTGAGGAGTGAAACAGATCGTAGACAGTAAGTGCTCGGGGTGACCCTCATCAGGAGACAGGCCACAGCTGCCTTGCCGTCATTCAGACACACAGTAGTAAATTTATTGTGCAATTAGCATAATGATATTTTTTGTCCCCTTACCTTAAAATTCCATTTTTTAAGATTTCAAGTTATATATGGCACAATTTTAAAACACTTCAATGTATGAAAAACAGCAAAAACTTCAAGGTACACAAAAAATTAAATATATCCATTTAGAGATATTCATGTACTTAATGTCACAGCAAATAAGAATGTATTTTGTTTCTTGAGAGTTCCATGCCTGTGACTCAGTGGCTGTATGTGGTTCATGCGATAATTGTTGGGAGAACTTGGAAAGGTCATTGGTTCCTCCTCTGGCGTAGGGATCGTCGCCTGACAGATGGTCATCCAGCCCCATACTAAAGCTTTCTCTTCAGTGGCTTTAATGATCTCATGCTCTTTAAAACTCTTGGATAATTATCAAGAATTTAATTTGCAGAGAGTTTTGTGTGAGTTCCAATCTCCCATAAGCATGTATTCATCATTTCAGCTACACACTGGCAAATTACTAGTTTGGCAATTCACGCTGAAGGTTCACATAAAGGCAGGCCATGTAGAAGGGCTGACTGGAATTTTCTGGTTCAGTGCATGGGTCCTAAACAAATGTTCTTGCTTTCCAGGGCTATGCATGAGCTATCTGATTTGGGTGGTAAGATTAGAGTTTTCGTGTCCAATTCACTTATCACTTTGTTCTTCAGAGGGAGTAAAGGGAGACATTATTTTTGCAGACTAACATTATGAGTCGGATAGAAGCAAACCTTGGTGATCTATTAAGACATTTGTCACCAGCATGGCAGCTAGGAAATGGTCCTGCGTGTAGGCTCTTATCTATCCTTTCAGGCTGTGCACACTTCAGCAGCAAAGGTATCATCTCTTGTCACGTCAAATAAAACAGAATGTGTCTGGTACAGTCACTTTCCAATGGCAGATGTGTAACAGTCATAGCCTGAAGTTCTACTTTGGTTGTTGATAATGGGGTTTCTTAGCTTGTGGTTACCTCCTCTCAGCTCATAAATCAGAGCATCAGCTAGCCTGATACGTTCATCCTTTGGACCTGGGATGCTGCCAACACAGCTCAGCTGCTGGAGACTGGCCATATTCCAGAACTTGTTACTGGTAGTGCTACCCTGCCAGCTGGCATTGAGGGGGGTGCCTGGAGGGCTCTAACGAGTCTCTGTAGAAGCTTGAGTTTGCTATGAGATATAAGCATGAGATTCACAGACAGATAATGGGGAGGAGTTCATAAAACCTTGACCTTACACTTCAAAACTCCATGAGGAGGATATTAAGCAACTATGCATTGTCTAAGGTACAAGAAATGTCAGATTCATTGTGTTGAGGAGGGGAATGCTGAGTTCGTTATACCAAAAGAAGGACAGGTTGGTGGTCTCAGAAAGACAAACACAATTCATGCAGGCTACTAACACAAAAGTTGGCTAGCATATGGTTGGTTTCTTTTCATTTTGATATCTTTAGACATGGTTGCAAGTTGCAATTCTACCATTACAGCCAACTTCCGAACAACTAGCCACTTTCATAAGGCAACTTACTGAGAACAAAGATAGATAGATGGATTTCTTCTTCATCTTCTGAGTAGTTTCTGCAAAAGATGCGATGTAAAAGGCCTTTTCTGATAGTTTAATAAACCATTGATCTACAGCAGTGGTTCTCAGCTTTCCTAATGCTGTGACCTTTAACACAGTTCCTCATATTGTGGTGACCCCCAACTAAAAAATGATTTTTGTTGCTTCTTCATAACTGTAACTTTGCTACTGCTATGAATTGTAACATATATCCGTATTTTCCAATGGTCTTAGATGACCCCCATGGAAGGGTCATTAGACCCCCCCCCAAAGGGGTTGTGACCCACAGGTTGAGAACTGTTGATCTACAGGGACACACTGTAACACTTCCACCAGGAGCGTTTACTGTTTTCTGCTAATATTTCATTGCTTTTAAGATGCTGAAATATTAAAGGAGCGGTGCATCAACTGATTGCAAGAAATGCCCTCTGCATACTCATCCTTTATTTTCACGTTTTTGCTGCATGCCAGCTAAGCTTTCTGAACATGTTGCTATAAAATTATGATTAAATATTAGTGTTCAGCAAAAGAGCCCAAACGTCCTGGCAGATGGCTTGTGGTTTCAAGTTGTATTTGATCAATAAGATCTTAGTCCAGGGAAAAATTTGGATCAAATCCCATAACTTGTTAGTATTTTATCTCCATTTAAACCATGATTTAGTCAAGCATTTTAATGGTGATTGCCCAGGGTCCAGATAGTCATGGTCAGAGCATCAGTGGCCGATTTATCGCGGCCTATGCCTTCACTGGACGGCATCTGACCAAGAGTTTCAAAATAACCAAGGTTTGCAAGAAAGTTGTTTACAAACACATTCCTGTCAGAATTCAGGATGAACTTTGGTTCTCTTTGCCTGCTGGAGAGATACTGTGTGGCCTCCTGCCTCTGCCTTAGGCAGAGTCCACCTCTGGGTAAGAAAGCAAGCGTGTGCCTGCCAGACTGACACCCAACGAAGACCGCAATACTCTGCCATTTTGTTATGGTGCCTTGGGTCCCCAAGGCCACACCTTGGCATATCCTCCCCGTGGACTACAGGGTACCCTGTTTCTCCACTTGTCTTCACAGCTTAAGTGAAATCCATCATTGGACCTCAGTAGGGTCTAGACAGAAACATTCTGGTTTGTCGTTTGTCATGGTCCTTAATACCTTACATTTTAGCCCCCCACCCCAGGTGTCCCCAAATGATTGTGATTGAATTTTGACTGACAATTTGTTAAGAAATAGAAATGATCAAATAGTCAAAAAAATTTAAAAATCAATATTACGATTCGACAAAATGGATGTGTCTGCATGGTGTGGGCTTAGGATCTAGGTTGACTGACAGCCTCAGGGAGAATATATTGCCTTCCTCCGATGGCTAATGTGGCCATG